TTGAAGGTGACCTTGCATTGTTTACGCTAGCACAAATTCGTCACTATAGACTCCATGGTATTTTGAAATGATGAAAAAGCGGAACCGTAGGCATTCATCTAATTTGCTGGTTCACGTTCATGTGTGCTAGGCAGTTTTTTCAGGACACCACGTCATTCAAAACACGATGAAAAACAGCTGCAACGCAAAAGAAGCGCAAGATGCAAGACACACGCGAAACGATTCTAAGAGAACAGACAACGATTCATTTTAAAGCTAAGAAAATTAGAGAGATCAAACAGAGATCGTAGCATAGGTTATCCGCAGGCGGACCACCGCCCTGAGCTCACAACCACTGGACGTGGCCTGTGCCTCACCGAGCAGCCCACCCCGCTCCGACACGGCTCGATGTACGGAGCCTCGTTGGCTCTCGGTCGGTAGATGGAGCCCCTCTGTGTACGACAGGCGTGTGTCTCGCACAGATAGCTCACATCAACGAGCAAACAAGATGGCCTGAGCGACGGTTGAGCATTAACATTGCGGCGAGCGGTGTACACCTCCAGGTAGTCGCACTTCGTGGCAGACTCGCCGATCCTTGAACGGTGAACAGAGCAGGTGAGATATGATCGCGGGGCCGTACGCCGGTCAAATCCGAGCAGGTGAGATGTGATCGCGGGGCCGCACACCCGTCACTGCCCGAGGAGGGGCCGCGCGCCAGTCACTACCTGAGCAGGTGAGATGTGATCACGGGGCCGCACGCCGGTCAATACCCGAGCAGATAAAATGTGTTCACGGGGCCGTGCGCTGGTCATTACCCGAGCAGGTGAGATGTGATCGCCAGGCCGTGCGCCCGCCATTACCCGAGTAGCCAAGTTGTCACTTTTTGGCTGCAGTTTAGTTGACAATCGTCCGCTCCATCCCAGACGAGCAAGCAGTAAATTAAGGGAGACAAAAAGGGCCTAAATTATCACGATGGGGGTCTTTTGTGGTGCGTGGCGTCAAACTGCATTCAATGAGGTGAGGATGCCGTAGCATCGGCGCACAATCACGAAAACGTGCGTGTTTCGGGTCAGCGACTGGTCCACGGTCATTCCTAACATTTCGATCGTGTTCGGAGACTGAAATGATAACCCCCCCCCCAAAAAAGTTAAATGAAAGCCCCCCAAAAAGTTTAAATAAACGCTGGCTGCCTTTGCAATTACTGTTTACTGTGAACTTAAGTCGGCTTTTATCGCATTCATCGTCAGAGCTGTTTCGAACTAGTTGTGCACTACTGAAATGAACTTCTTTGACCTAACTTTGAGCTAAAGGAAGTCGTCGTTGTCAGGCGGGAAGCTGTCGATGGGGCGTGTGACCTGCATACTGCAGCAGACGGCTGTGGAAAAGAGGGCTGAAGATGCTTCGACAATGCTGGAGCGAAAGGTCTGACAAAAGACCCTCGGGGGACGCCACTGTCCACGGGACGGACCTCAGAACCATCCTGAATCTTTTGCTCTCCGACGCTGAGATAAAGATAACTTGGTTTCATGGGTCTATGGAATCAATGAGGTCGAGTGACACACCAAACCAGTTCCGCAAGAGAGCGTCTTTATCCGCGCAGTCAAAAGCCTTCCCTAAATCTGTCGCCACTATCGACGCAGTCAGGTCACCATCGACTTTCCCGACTGTCCACGAGACAGTCGAGCAAGATGTTCTCCGCTGAATGACCGAGACAATGCGCATACTGACATCTGTTGAGCAGGAAGTTGGCTGCCAGATATCCAGCTAAGCTGGCCGCAAACGAAGCGCTCTGATTGGGGAATCACTGAGGATGGTGAGATGGATCCGGTAATTAATCGCCAGGCCGCGGTCACCGTTCTTGTACAAATAAGTCACTTTTGAGAATGCACTCAGAGAATCCATTCGGAACGCTGGATGGATTCCTTCCAATGGTACAACCTGTCTAACTGGGGTAAGTGGCGCCACCTGTGGTAGGCAAGATCAAGTAGTTCGTTCATGGAGTAAGCCGCATCGCACGTAATTTCAGTGTGCTATGGCATCGGGAAAAAACTTGTCTATGTTGCCTCGTATTTTGTTGTGATTGTGGTATAAGAAAATTGTGGCCTCTTTACTAATTTGGCGTTTCAGTTACTGCTACTCCGATATCGTTTCCTGATGTGGCAATTATCGACCAACGCGGGCAGCATAAACAGAAGCCTGTTGTCCGGATGACACTTATTGACACCATTTTCGGTGCATTGAATCGCTGATACAACATTCCCCACACACAGCTGCCACAGCATGTATCGCCTGACATTTTGGAAGAATGTTGCTACTGCTCCGAAATGTTTGACTGCCAGACGCGAGGTGAGCTGCGGTATACGCGGCACGCGTACTTGCTCACCGCTGTGCATATCATTCAGATCAGTCCGGTAACACTGTGAGACCTCGAACGCACATTTCAACGACGGCAAAAGCTTACAAATGTCTGTCGTGCTCGCCCCAAGACGCACATGCGCATGCAGCCGGAACAACACTAAAACATAAAAGGTGCTAATGTGTAAGCCGAGTGATTCAAGACTGTCATTCGTCGCTTAGATTCAGGGCAAATATGCTTGATACTAGAACCTGGTTATGACATCTCAAAACGCTCTTCCATAGCCGAATGGGTCCTCAAATGAGCTTCATCCTTTTAGCCCGATCAGACCCTATCCACATGCCTCAGGTTTCATCGCAAGCACAAACGGCTTCATAATTTGTAAGCATGTCACGAACCATCGAATCAGGCAACATACGTATGGCTATTTATACCAGAAATATATCTATAAATTATGTCAATTCCTGGCTTCCATGCAACCCCACACTTTCGTCCAAACTAAGAATAGATCAAAGCCAGCAATTTCCTTGGGGAAAGGTCGTGGAAGGTAGGGGAAAGTTTCAGAACCTCAAGCTTCCCCAACCGTCTTGGAAAATGCTTCTGATTTTCCAAGCCTCTCCCGATCAATCCCTACCATCGGCCACCGCCTTGGAAAACTTGGGATTCGCCCGAGCCTCCTCGGCCGTCAGATGTGGGATTTGCTTAAGGAAGTCGTTTTTCGTACGCAATCCCCACAGGCAGATCGGAGAACGTTCGTGATTCCGTGACAGGCTGTTTGGGAAAGGTCGGCAGATTCCAATCCGGACTGGACATTTTTCAGTGCGTAATTGCCATCGGTAGCTCGAGGAACACCTCGGACACCCTGCTTACGGAAATATGGGAAACGATTCGAAAAAGGATCGAAATCACAACCCGAATGCATCACTTTCGTAGTTGTTCCCAGGCATTCCCCAGCCGGAAAGTTGGCGGACGGCCTTGATATCCCGGTTGGGGTCCGACCGAAATTGCGAGCTGGGTTGGTACGATTCCAGCCGGTCTCTTGCATACACGTAAGAACAAAGCTACACTTCCTCCGCATAAAAAGGATTGCAAGAATGAAAAGGGAGTGCTTGCTCACCGTGTGAGCACTCACACGATCCGCGCGTGCTTGCTCACCAACGCAAGCCACACGCGGCACCGCTGGCCTCCCACGGTTCGGAGGTCTTGTACACTCTGCCGTGAGTGTGATCTAGTGCCCGCTTCAGTTCTTGTGCAGCATCTGGGGTTGCTCGCCGCGAGTTTCGAGATTTCCACCGACAAGAACCAGAAATGCAGGGGTGACCGGCCCGGGCAGCGAGCGGGTCATGGGTGAGGCGCAGGGCGGCTGGTGACACGGCCGCCGGACCTCCCTGGCGGCCGGGACGGGATGAGATCGCCACCGACGGGAACCGGAAGTGCAGGATGACCGGCCCGGGCTGCGAGACGGCACGAGACGGCACAGTCGCACCGATCGATGGAATAAGAGCTGTCGCCGTACAGTAAGCGCGCATTCCAGGCAGGAGCTCGCTCCGGAGAAACAGACGGCATGTCTGACCAG